TATAAGATAAATTGTTATATATGTACATACATATTTTTTTCTTTCTTAGTTTTAGCTACTGCATTTATGGTTATTCCAGATTATATAAAACACCAAAAATAACTCTATAGGATCTCTTTTAATATTCTCCAAACACTACAAGTTTAAAAAATGTTTTTTTGAGATATTTTAAGATGACTTTATATATCATTTCTTTTATTACGTGCTTCAGACATTAGTCTTAAAAAAAAAAAAATACTTTTCTGAGATTTAACGTCTCATTTCTTACTTTCAATTTAATTCTGATTTACACTAATAATATTCCACATTTTACAACTCATATCGGTCACTCTCTCACACTAGTCGTGCCCCACGTGTCACGCTACCCTCTCATCTCTAGTGCACACTCTGAACAGCCACGTTGCATACAATTACACAAACAAAACGCAAACATGCAGAATGCAACAGAAAGGAAAATGAATTACAAAAATAAAAATAAAGAAAAATGAAATTCAACTTGCAGCAAATAAATTCAAATTGCAAAATTGTAGTACAATATTTTTACCTTTTGCAAATGTCGCTCAATGCTCGAATTACGTAAATGAAAAAGGAAAAACGACAACAAGAAAAAAATAACAAATTTTTGTATTTCAACTCCAAATTCTAACCAAATTACGAAATATGAATGCATTTAAACATTAGACACGACTTCAAATATTTTGATCACATTTCAAAAAAACACTACAACAAAAATACAATTTTAAAAAATAAATAAAAAATACAAAATATATATAAACAAGAACGAAATCATGATTCACACACATAGAGAGAACATGACAAAATATTGCCAAAAACAGAATAAAGAAAGAATATAAATAAATATAAAATATATATGTATATGTATGTATGTATAACTCACATACATGAAGATAGCATTATTCTTTGGTATAGATTGTCAAGCTTTACTACACACTATATTAACATAGATGAAATAAATGTAATACTAATATAATAACAATGAACACGAACGGAAATACGAAATAAATTGAATAAAAACTAAATTACATGTGTGCTCACTTTTATTCACTTTTGATTGCCGATTGTTGGCTTGAACAGGCGCGAATGATTGACGTGCAGATGCCCTGTAAAGTGAGGTATGTAGAAAAGGAAATAAGACTTGGTTCTTTCTTAACGTTTACCACTGTAATTAGAGATTTAACTAACTATTTAACTATTATTGTCATTATCATTAGTAATATTATCATGCTAATGATATCTATTATTCTTCTTGTCAACTATCAGCAACTTTCATTAAAATTCTCATTTTCTTTTCATTATCATTAGCATTATCATTATCTTGTCGTTAGCATAATCATAAGAATTCATTACCATAGATTGACAATACTTTACTATACTATTCTATTATAATCAATAAGCCTAAATCATTGACATGCATATTATCATTATCATTAGCACTACAATTTTTATTTCAATATATTATACGAGTATAATGAAATTATTATCATTCAAATATCTTCATTATTGGCATTAGCATTATCAATGCTATAGTTATATACTATCACCATCATTATCATTTTAACTATCATTATACATTTTTGCATTACTTTCA